TTTGTATACTCTTGGAAGTCAACTTCCTCTGCACAAGGTGCTGTGTGACCCCGTCACAAATAGATAGAACTCACCTAACTCAAAAAGTCCAAATAGCGCATCAGCTTGCTCCGCCACTCCTACGAAGTAGTCAATGCCACGAGATACCCCAATTTTTTTTCCCAGGCTTTAGATACATGTAGGCATCTGATAGACCCGTTGCGGGCTTGACGGAGAGAAAACCAGAAGAACAGAAACAAGGCGCTGTCCGAACCTGACCTCTTCCTATCACGCGATTTTTAGAATGAATAAAACAGTGACGGGTGGTTTGAAGACGTAACAATTTATAATTGTGGTCCACATCAACTTACTGCACTTTAATATTATTTACAGGTGGTGTTACGACTTGGGCATGGTGAGATTATCACTAACTGTAAACCCAATCCTCACTTGACGTAAATATTGTAAAGATCCGTTGAAAAATTAATGACTAATAATCTTATCCTAGCTTATATTTTGTAGAGTTCCTTAGAAAACTCAAGCTTAATTCTTATTGTGTATTATTCAGGTTAGCTTTCTTCTAAAATTCTCAAGTGGTAAGGCTAAATAAATATACCCCAAAAAGAAAAAAAATTAAGAACAAAAAAGAGGACAAAAACTTGATGATCTTGTTTGGCCTCGGTTTTAGTAGATGCTCATGTGGATGTATATTAAAATGTAGCTCTTTATTAGCCCTCTATAACCGTGTTAGCAACTCTCTATTAAACTGACGCGTTGTTGCGGGAGCTACTAAGCCGCAAGGTGTCTGGAATCTCTACCCAGAAAATGTAGGGCATGAGTCCTCGAATTCAATAGTATAATCAAGAAAAAAATGTAATCCCATACAAACTGGCAGTCAGCTGTCATATATGAGGCAGACCGCACCGAAAACTAATTTTACTGGAAATGATATATTTATTGGCCTTTAAAACATCTTAATACGAAAGGGTTAACCCCAACAAGTTTCGTCCTTAAAACGAGGACGAAATAAGATGCAAAAGCGTCAAATTCCGCGTGGTTTGTCAAGGCCCCGAAACGAAGAATTTAAAATTGTCCAGCCAGAAAGAAACCATGGAGATAATGGCGGGTGTGCGTGTTGCGTGTCGTGCAGACTCTCGAATCCAACCTCTGGGTCATGTGGTGCAGATGATCGACGAGTTTGCAGACGTTTCCCCTTTCTGGACGCTCCTGGGAGCTGTCAAATTGGGAAGCGCTCGCCTAGTTCACCGTGTGCTGTGTCATACCTGTGAGTCACTACGTGACCAGAATAACCTTCAGCAGTTCGAGCATGCAACGAGGCCCGCTGCAGTTATGGGGAACTTGCAAGTGATGCAACTACTGCACGAGGTTGGTGTGGTCGCATTGAATAACACAACAGCCGTAGCAGCAGCTCTGAGCGGAGATCTTTCGTTTCTGAAGTGGGTCCAAGCCACCGCACCACGATTGTTCCACCACGCGAGATCCTGGGCAGAGCAAGTGGAGTTCGACGTTGCTGCTGAACGTGGCTGTCTGAACACTGTGCAATGGCTTGTCGAGGCATTTCCTGGTACTGTGTGGTCGCTAGGTCCTGCTGCACTTGGTGGAAATCTTGAGACAGTGAAGTGGCTACACGAACATGCCAATCTCGGCGAAGTTCAGCAGGATTTCCCGTTTGGAACACTCACCAGAATTTCTTTTGAGCTGTGCATGCAATATTTTGAGGAATGTTCTGGTGAAGAAACGGAATTGAAGGCGGTGAAGTTGAGATTTCGCGAAGGCCGCCCTCCGAGAGTCACTGACGATGGATTGGGCTGCCCTTCAAGGTCATAGCTGGCTGCCAATAGGAACGACGGGTGCTCGCCAGAGGCAGTTAATGGCACCGCTGAAGCAGGCAACTTGCAGATTTTACTCTGGCTGAATACGCACTATAGTGCCCAGTGGACGTCCCAAGCGATGGATCGTGCAGCACAAGGTGCATCTTGGTATTGTGCAGTGGATGCACCACACTCGCAACGAAGGTTGCAGCACTGCGGTAATGGATTCTGCAGCTAGAAATGGATACCTCGAAATAGTGAAATGGCTACATGAAAACCGTGTGGAAGGGCAGCTATGGATGGTGCGGCGGCAAATGCTCACCTCGATGTGGTAAAATGGCTTCATACGAACAGATCTGAAGGGTGTACGACTCGAGCTATGGATTTGGCTGCGGAAAGAGGGCATCTTGAAGTGTTGCAATGGTGACATGGTAACCGTAAGGAGGGGTGTACCCAAGATGCCGTGGACCACGCTGCTGGTTCCGGTCACCTCGATGTAGTGCAGTTCCTGTATGCGAATCGCACGGAAGGCGGGACAGCCATTGCGGCCGTGTTGACGGAAGAGCGGGGAATGTTTGAGGTTCTGCGATTGTTCGCAGAGCAAAACATCGGCCTTGTCATTCCAGGAGAAGAGGACGAGGACCTTTAAGCGGTGGGACCACATGCTGCATGTTGCTTTTTGTGTTGTTTTGTGACGCTGGACATTATGTCGATTGCTGGGATTCGTGAGCAGATAATAGCCTGTTGAATGGAAGTTTGTTTTCGTGTTTTGTTTGAGGTTAACCAACTCACAGCTCTAAGTACTTGTGTGCTCTTAGTACCTACAGAGTTTATTTGTCGATGATAACCCCTTGTCATGCTGCACCCAGCTCCTCACTTAATTGTTTAGCTGTGCTTCAGCAAAGGATATCCATAGTTGTCCACTCAGCAGAGGGGTGTAGGATTTTGACGTTGTCGTTCCTGTCGGCAAGGTTGCCGGTCCGTCGACCCCACAAAATATTCGTGAGATTATGATTTACATGTACTCTATGAACCCACTGATCGCAACCATGACCTCCTTGCTGATCTCGTACGCACTGGGTTCACTCGTCACTTCAACATGGCTAGATTATAGACAGAAGCGAATCACCTCAGACAGCAGGGAGCTTGTAGTGATAGTTGCTGGCTGTGTGCTGGGTTTCGCTATCATCCTGTACATGTATCTTGGATATCTGCAAGTTCGGACATCTGCATCCACACGATGAAAGTTAACTCAAACAGCGATTAAGTTACAGTGCCACCCAATAGTATCACACACTTCTCGTCTCGCACTTAGTCGACTTCTGTATCTATCCGTTTTGTCCAATCGCGTGGGTTCATACTTCTCCTTTCCCAGCCGGTTCAATCAATCACTCGGCAACAGTCACCGTCGTCGTCACTCTACCGCCGCCATGTTCGCGCCCAACGCGACGTCTAGCGGCAGCCTCGAGGCGCGCCAGCGCGTGGCGCAGCTGCAGCTCCAGTCTGCAACAAAGCACGTGATCGCCGTGGGGCGCGTCGTGCGCAGCTCGTACTGCGATCACTCTGGCTGGGGCTACAAGCAGGGCAGCATCATCAAGAGCTGGAAGCGTCGCTACTTCGTGCTTAAGGGGCGAGAGCTCATCTATTTCTCAGAGCGATCGCCCAGCGGCAAGGGAATCGACGAAAAAGGAAGACTGCGCATCAGCGGCGTCGAATTCACGCCCGAGTTCACGAATGCGCTGCTGGTACGAGGGGAACTCAAGAATCAGGCAGTAAAAATGCAGGTAGACTCGAACGAGGAGAGCGACGAGTGGTTCCGCAAGATCTCCGAGGCTCTGCAAGCTGCCAGGGACGAAGCCTTGGCTGGGGCTAATCAAAGAGGAGAAGCAGGCAGTGGAGCAGTGGCTATGAAGGGCTGGCTGCTGAAGGAAGGACAGAACTTTAAGACATGGAAGCGACGCTATATGACCTTGACGGGGAGGACGATTCAGTACAGGGCGCAACCTAACGAGAAGCCGTTGGGTGAGACCAGAGTGAATGCGGTCAATATTAACCCATCGAGACCCTTCGCATTGGATATTTACTCAGATAATAACCGGATTCTGCGGATTGCAGCGGACTCGTTTGCGGATATTGAGGCGTGGGATCACGCATTTGCCAAGGCTACTGGTAAGCGACCGTGCTTTGGAGATCCGTACGCTGGACAGGATGCCCCGTTCCTTGGAGAGACGTTCGAAGAGAGTGTACTGTGCGAAGGATGGCTCTATAAGAGAGGACAGCGGTCGACGGAGTGGCAACGGCGGTACTTTAAGCTGAAGGGATTTAAATTGCAGTATCAGGACGGGCCTGGTGAGAGCGTGCCCAAAGGTGCAGGTACAGTGGTGGGGTTAAAGCTTGGCGAGTCAGGGTCCAACAGTGTGTATGTACAGTTGAGCTCGGGGCGTGTGCTCTGTGTGAGTGCAGACAGTCAGGCGTCGGTGGATAAATGGGTTAAAGCTATCTGCAGTCTACTGGATAAGGATCCCAAAACCTTGGAGAAGGAATCTTCTGCTTCGGCCAATGTCTCCAAGGGTGCGAGTACCAGTAATCTGCTAACACGCGCACTTAGTCGTGCTGGGTCCAATGCATGTGCTCCGCCAGTTATAGCTTCACGCAGTGCTCGGTCGAGTCTTACCGGCGCTGGTGGCTACTTGGAAGGTTACGATGACACACCAGAGACAGACGACAGCAATTCTGGTCAGCTTTTGCGTGATTCTACTGGGAGTTACAGGTCTTCTTTCGGTACTGGAAGCAACTCATCGTCTACAACACCCAGAGCTTCCACTCTGAATCGCAAATGTGGATGGCTACGCAAAGAAGGCGCCCGTGTTCGTTCACTCAAGCGTAGGTATTTCATGGCAGACGGCAACAAACTGTACTACTTCGAGCAGATTGGCGAGGCTCCGCGTGGTAACGGCATTGTGAAAAGTGCCGTCCCCAACGATACGTATCCTAACTGTCTGGATTTTATCCTCACGTCTGGCCGTACACTGCGTGTCGTGGCTGAGTCTCCTGATGAGATCCGCTCGTGGCTCGACCACTTTAACGAATGTATTCCAGGTGGCGACAACTCCGAGGAACGTCGCAGTGCATTGGAGAGATTATCGCTTGGCGCCGCGGAAGATTCGGCTTCAAGTGTGACTGAATCTGGTGCTGGTTGGCTGCTGAAAAAAGGACAGAACTTTAAGAACTGGAAGCGCCGATTCTTTAAGCTTGAGGGTAAACAGTTTTCGTACGCGAGCGCGCCAGACGCCCCACCTCTTGGACGCGGAGTGGTGGAGAAGGTCACGATTGGCAATGCGAGACCATTCTGTCTGGACGTTCGCTTCCAGAATGGCCGTATCATGCAGGTTGTAGCGTCAAATGAGAGCGAGATGCTGGCCTGGCATCGCTTGTTGCAAGCTGCGGTTCTGTCGGAGCCGATCGAAAGCGACTTGAGGCAGGACACGCAGTTCGACTTCGATGACGCAGAGGAAGATGCACAGCTGGACAGTATGCGCACTGTGGTGACAGCAGCCACGGCGTTCAAGCGAGGATTGTCGAAGGCGTCGTCAACAGTGAGCACAGCTTCGAGTGACGGTAGTTATACCCAGCAAGAAGTGAAATCTACTGGTCAGAGTGCAGAGGAACTGGTGAAGAAGACTAACGAGCGAGCAGAAGCAGCAGCGAAGGCGGTGGCGGTTGCTGTGGCAGGGGCTGGAAGGCGATCACTGCGTCTGGGAACGGCGGAGACCGAAGAACCGGTCGTGTGCAGCGGTTGGCTAAGGAAGGAGGGTGGTACCGTCAAGAACTGGAAGCGCCGCTACTTCACGCTACATGGCCCCACTCTGTGCTACTTTAAAAGCGACAACGGGGCGCTCCTGCGTAGCTTCACAATCTGTCATGTCGTGACCTTGCGGACGAAACGACTGTGTCTGGAGATCACGACGGAGGTGGGGCGCAAGCTGCTGGTGGCCAGCGAGACGCAGGCGGATCTGGACCGTTGGCTGGACCATTTGCACCGCGCTATTGCAGCGGAGAAAAGAAAGAAGCATGGGGCCGACGCTCCCCAATGGGCGAAGGAGACACCGGTCGCTGCCGCACCGCTGGCCCTGCTTGTCGACGCCCCCAAACCCGGCAGCCTCGCGTACAAGGTGCTTTAAGTTGGTGCGATGTAAACCGGACGTGTCAATAGCACTGCTATAGGGTTGGCTGGAATTATTTGGCAAACACTATTTGCTTCAGTTGAGATTGTTCTGGAGGTGCATGTTGTCATGGCTGCTTTTGATGAGTGGCGCATGATTGGTGATCAGGAGATCCCATGGTTTTTTTTTTTCTTCTACATTTATAGCCGTCCATACTCGCGTCATGACGAGCCGATTGCTAGCAACGCCGTAATGAAGCTTGACGAAAACTTCGTAGACGCTTGCAAACCTCCACGTCTCGCTGGAGTAGGTGGCAAACATTGAAGTGCACAACCATTCCTGCGCGAGCGTCATGGACACCTTCAATGTGCCTCATCTCAAGGGAAGAGTGGGAACCATTACGCAGCAAGTTCAGCCGACATACATCGTGGCAACATCCAGTGACCAAGCTAGCAAGTTGCTTGCGACGTTGAGTCCCACTTGGACACGAGTGCTGTCATGGCGTCATGGCAGCAGTGGCAGTGGCCAGCTGCGTGACGCCACGATGTGGTGCGGCTCGGATTGGCAACTCACGGCAACACTGATTGCAGAATGATGGTCGATTAGGATACGCGCCCTCTTGTCCAATCACATGCGACCGTGAATCCAATTATAGCCAATTATCTACGACACACCGTCCATCAACAAACAGACTTGTAAACAACCACTTGGCCGAACTTGATCCGGAACCCAGTCTGCAATCCGAGTCCACAGGCACAAGTTGATCACCGTCCACCGCAATGGAGATCCCGCGAATTGTTCACGATGAGCTACTGCACCAAGTGGACGGACCCCAGGAGGAGCATCTATTGGCATTGCGGCATGCAAGCGTAAGTCCAAGACCTGGAGCTCCCTTGGACGCCAAGCTCGGTGGCGAGCGCACGCCTCTTCTGAATGCAGCCGACAAGGTAGATGTGATCCTGGATGAGGAGGAGAAGGCGGCAGTGGCGGTCGACAGCCAGCTGACGGTCTGGGAGATCGTGAGCGTGGAGACCAAGCGGCTGCTGGCTGTGGCCTTCCCCATGATGCTGGCAGTCATGCTCGAGATGTTTCCAGACCTGGCACTGAGTGTGATGATAGGCCACACAGACGTCTCTCGCAGCACTGAGATTCTGGCTGCCTATCAGCTGTCCAGCCTCGTACAGATGATGATCATCGGAGGCCTCATCATGGGTCTGTCCTCTGCAATCGACACCATGTGCTCGCACGCCTTCGGGGCTAAGAAGATGGTCGAGCTCTGGAGGATCACGCAGGCCGCTACCATCGTGTATTTAATGTGTTTGCCATTCATCACACTAGTCCTCTGCAGTGGCAAGCCGATGCTCGTCGCCATGGGGCAAGACCCTGCCATTTCTGATGTTGCAGGACAATTGCTGCTCACCAGTTTGCTCTTAGTGCCGTTCTGTATCATGTACGCGGTCATGAAGAGCGCGCTACAGGCACAGAATATCGTATTCCCCTTTGTATTGGCGTCGCTGGTGAGCTTCATTCTGAGCTCCATTGCGGCCTATGTCTTGGCGTTCCACACGTCGTTGGGGTACGTTGGAGTCGCGCTGGGAAGCCCCGTCGGTTGGTTCTTGAAGGTTGTGATGGTGCTTCCGGTGGTGCTGCGCAACCGCGTGTTTGTCGAGTCGTGGCCAGGTTGGAATTGGGAGGAGGCTTGGGCACGAGTTCCCGGCATTGGACGCCTGGGTGTGTCCAGTGTGCTCATGATGACGTTTCAAATGGTCGGGTTCTCCTTCATCTCGTTGCTTGCGGGTATGTTGCCCAACGCAGACGTTTTGATTGCAGCGAACGGGATTTTTGTATCGGTTATCGGCCTTGCGTTCATGCCGCTGCTGGGGATCTGTATCGCTGGTGCCATCCGCATGGGTAATGCTCTTGGAGCAGGTCAGGCTCGCCGAGCTCGTCTCATTAGCTTCATTGTGATGAGTGCGTCACTGTCGGTATCTGGAGTTGCTGCTGGAGTTGTCGCCTATATTGCGGCTCCATACTCTCGTGCGTTCACTCCTAACGTCGAGGTTATAGCGGTGGCGACGGATCTTATCAAGGAGTTGTTGCCGATGTTGCCTCTCCTGGGTTTTGCCTTCGGGATGCAGTCCGTGTTCCGTGCTTGTGGAAAGCAGTTGCTCTGTGCGCAGCTTAATTTTGTGTGTTTGTTTGTGCTGGGTGTGCCGCTTGGATTGGTGTTCGCGATTCGGTTTGACTCGGGTATTGCGGGTCTCTGGGCAGGCAACATGGCGGGAATCGTCATCTTTGCTGTGGCTGGGGTGTTGTGGTTGCGTGCCACGAGTTGGGAGAAAATGGCTCACGACGCGAAGCACGGCACTCATCATGCAGTTGCCGTCGCTGCGTAGGGGGCCTCATTGAGACTCTCAACGGGCATCCAAGGTGATTTTTTTTAAAAGAACTTCAGGTTTAATTTGTAACGTACTTCAGTACATCGAAGATAATTCTGGTGATTTTTAGTTTTAGCGGGAGTGTTTTGTCGTTCATTTTATACTCGTCGATGGTCGAATGTCATCAGCGTACTCGGTGGGCTCATGCATGGGTTCAGGTGGGTGTGTGGCGTCTCTGATCTCATCGTAGCAGGCTTCGCTCAGCGTCTCTTCACTTCCTGGGGCTCCACATGTCGTTCGTTCCAGCGCCTGATGCGCCAGCATCGCCCAGTCAGCTCGGAATGCCAACCAGTACGTGCTAAAGAGTCCACTTGCGATGAAACCGGCATTGAGGCCAAGCCAAAGTCCTAGCAGTCCCATTTCAAGAGGAAATGCCAACAGCAAACCCAGCGGTACAGCCAGCAGAATGTAGCAGACGAAGTTAACCTTCGCGCCAAGTGTCTGCAAGCCACAGCCACGGAAAATGCCTTGGGAAACGGACGAGATGGCTGCGAAAACCTGAAGCGGACTGGTTACAAGCAACAATTTCGACGTAATGGACACCACCCGCTCGTCACTTGTAAATGCAAATGGTAACACGCCATGCAGCAACAACATGGCTACCGACGCAATAAGAGCGCAGGCTGTGCTCAGACCCAAAGCCAGTTTCGCGGTGTGCCAAGCACGTGCCGGATCGTTCGCTCCAAGTGCATTGCCGACCCTCACAGAGCCTGCGAGCGAGATAGCAGCGTACCAGAGTGCACCGAGCCATCGTAAATTGGCATAGCTTGAGTCTGCACTCACGACGGCTGCTGCATGGGGCAGCATCCCCGAGCTGAGCCCCACTGCAGCATAACCCCATACTTCACACACGAACATAGCCATCCCAGACACACCCAAGCGCAGGAACTCGGGCATTAGCCGAACCGCCTCAGAGAATTGCCAACCTGGCCACTCACGTTGGTACAGACCGCTGCGGTACAGATACGTTGCCAGTACAATTGCGTAACAAGCCAAAGTGACTGAAATGGCTAATGCGGATCCAGTGAATCCCAGCGGTGTCTGGAACATGAAGACGTAGAGCAGAGTAGCTTGAACGACACTCGCCATGAGACCGACACCCACGAGCGGCTCCACGCGACTCTGACCTTGTAGGATCTTGCACATCAGCGTGTTGATAGCTGCGAAGGGCACGCCAGGCAGTGCTAACAACACTAAGCTGCGGACCAGTTGCGCAAGTTCACGTTGTTGACCTGCCAACTCCAGTAGCTCAACGCAATAGAAACTGGCAAGGGCTACGGGTGGGAATCCGATGCAAAAGACGAGCAAACCTGTCTGAAAGAATAGCCCCAGCTCTCGTAATTGACCGGCGCCATAGGCCTGAGCACAGAGGGTGTCCATCGCAGCGCTCATAGCTGCGATCAGTGTCGTGCTGGTCACCATGTTGAAGATGAGAGCCAGACTACGCGCCGCCATGAACTCGCTACTGTGTGAAGCGCTGAGGTGGCCCGTGAGAACGCCACTGAGGAAATTGGGAGCGAAATCCACGATGGCAAACAGCAACATCTGGAAGGCCAGACGCAGCAGCGCTTGACACTCGCTGCTGTGTCGTATCGGAGAAGGTTTGGTGCACCCTCTCAAGGTGGACTCCTCGTCTTCGACGCTGTTGCTGGGCACCACTGTGGCGTCAAAGAGCAGCAATGGGGTGCGCTCCGTTGCGGGCTTGAGTGGCTCGGGCTCGGAGATCTGTGCGATCTTTTTGGACAGTCCGTCCCACAACGCCTTGGTCGACTCAGCGGTCATGGAGAGACGAGCTGAGGCTGCAGCGACTGCATTAGCTGCACGAGTGACTCGACGAGGCACGTTAAGCATGGCAACGACAGGCTTTGAGAGGTGCTGCTTGGAACGAGGAATGCAGAGTGCGATCGATAAGCTCAAGAGAGATTCGCTAACCGTTGATGGCGATGTTCTTCGTGCGGCGCTTCAAGATCGCTCTATCTCGCGCCGTAATGCTGCGTCATCGGCGTTTTCTGATCCGAGCGTCCCATGACGAGGATACACATCAACACAGTGGTAGATCGATTGGCTGCGACGGCGTTAAACGTTGCCCGAGAAGCTGTCGCCAGAACTCATACTTGTCAAACAAAGATCCCGCGCCCGTTGGCTGGGTCGGTAGGACAGCCTACGCTAGAAACGAGTTTCCCCAGTATTCGTCCGCCTGGCTAACGAGCTACTACACGATTCGTGATTCGCTGCGAACGTAAAGAATATCCTTGATGGAGGATTAAAAATGATGCCGTTTTTCAGATTCGAGTGTAAGGGGTGATGCTGGTGAATGAAACGCCCCCCACATAGCATGTTGCGTCGGCAAATTCGAGATTCAAACGCGGATTAAACAACCGAGGATATCGGAGCAGTGAAACAGCTAACTACATGTTGTACTTCAGTGCTCGTACTCCCTGCTGGCGTTCAATATCACATCGTGAGGTAGACCGCTGTCACGAACATCTCGGCTTTCTTTCAATGTGGAGCTCGTCGCATCAACTTTAAAATAAACGTGAAGGTTACATAGGAGCCTTTGATCCTATTTCTTGCCCGTGTCTTCAAGGCAAGGGTTTAGCACTGCAGGCAACCAACGATATCCCACGAAGTTTCGGTAATCAACCCGCATCTTGCCGCAATTATTAATGACCACATGAAATGTAGTTGCTAGTCACTGCTCAGCAACTACATTTAGTTTAAGAAGGACAAGTACACTTCACCCGGTGGTGCCGCACACGGCCGCGCCAGCGAATGATGAGTGACCAGTGCTTAGTACCTCCGCCAAGGTCAAATTGAATGCTCCAATCGACACTAAAATAATGGATAAATGTAGGCAAAGCGAAGAGAGGTAGTCAAGAGAGAAGCCCACGACAACTCGAGCACCTGACTTGCCGCCGGCACGCGCCGGCGCGTGCCAAGTTGGCAGCCAACCATTTCACAGCTTTCCCATCGAGGCAGCACCTGCCTGTTATTAACCTCTACGAGCTGCTGGAAAATCGTCTGCAGTTGCGAGCCTTGCCACTTCGTGCTGAGCTTTTCCAGCGGACTTTGCTGAACTTGCGTGAGCTGTATTCATGTTGGTCAGCACGAGCTTGTCGTCTGCAGGACCGCCGCAGTAGGCTTCGCTTATAGCGAGTCGCTCTCCTACACCGCGCAAAGATGGCAACGCAGGTAGCTGCTGCACCAAAGGTGAAGTGATCAACATTCCTATTAATACGTGATTCGGCAACAGCTGCAACATGATCCTTGAATTTGTATGCTCAATCCTGGTTTAACACGGAATGCCTGTTGAACTTTGTCTCAGTTCCTGCCTATTGCGATGTCAGGACAACACGGCATCAATATTGACCAATCAAATCACCTAAATCTGTCATATATGATACAAGTTTTCTGTACTTTACAATACCCTTTTCTTTCCGATTCAAATCAATTTTCTTAGTAATCTGCATTTCTCTGTCTTTGATTGGTTGAAAGCGGGTTGCCACCTTTATCCAACAATCGTCGGTCATCGGTGTGCACCACGCAGCAAACTCCAATTGCCGTGTGTGGCCTGTAAAGAAAGGGAGCCTCGCAATCGCCAACCTCGCTCCGACTCGACAAGCTAGCAGGGGCTCCACACACATAGCAGCAGAGTATGGCCGCACTGGACGAGGACTGGGAGGAGTGGACGCCCGAGAAGGGCTCCTTCGTGCATCACATGTTGGCCGGCTCGGCCGCTGGTGTGGCTGAGCACGTGTCCATTTTCCCAATCGACACTGTCAAAGTGCGTGCACCATCGTTTCCTTCTTTATCCAGCCCAGTTGATACTTAATTGTTATCCTGTTGCCTCCACCCGAAATCAGACGCACATGCAGTGCCAGCGATGCCCTGTGAACGGCAAACCAGTCAAACTGACGGCCACACAGACGGCGCGCCAGCTCGTAGCGGAAGAAGGCCCGTTGCGCCTTTTCCGGGGCGTCAGTACCATGCTGGGCGCCAGTCTTCCGGCCCACGCCGTGTATTTTTCGGTGTTCGAAGCGGCTAAGAAGGCGCTCGGAGCAGATACGAACACTATCACGCCTATGGCATCAGGGTCGGCCGGTGTCATTGCCACTGTGTGCCACGACCTCATTATGACTCCCATGGATGTATGTAGCCGGACTAGTATTGCGATTTATCTACTGGATTACGAAGTTCGACTTGCTTATTCTTTATTTTTATTGTAGGTCATTAAGCAGCGTCTACAGTTGGGATACTACGATGGAGTGGCAGACTGCTTTAAGACGGTGGTGATTATATTGCTGGACCCTGTGTCTCCGCCACTGTGTTAAAGTTACTGGAGTTACTCACGGAGTATTGATGTGAATGTATTGCAATTATCAGGTTATGAAGCACGAAGGCCTGCGCGCGCTGTATATTAGCTTCCCCACGACGCTCTTGATGAATCTGCCTTACAGGTGCGAAGAAGTGCAGTGTTTAAACCGTGGATCTACAATGCTAACGGGCGTATTACAGTATGATTATGGTGTCGGCGAACGAGACTTTCAAGAAGATTTTGAACCCGTCGGGAGAAATGAACGTCTCGGCTTACATCGCCTCAGGTGCTGCGGCTGGAGCTCTGGTACGATTTTAGTACGTGTGGAATTAGTACATCTTTTTATCTGACCTGCTGTTGTGTCTGGATAGGCTGGCGCGCTGACGAACCCGCTGGATGTGGCAAAGACTCGGTTGCAGACTCAGTCGATGATGATGACGGAAGAAGCCTCGGTAGGAACCCGTGCCCCCTCTCGCGTGAAGTCGGCTTCGATGTCGCCTCGCTTCTCGAAACCAGAACTTCAGGTTCTTGTGCATCCCGCTCAGGGCCTCTCTTTGCTTACATTTCCTCCTGTTTGTTTGCTTATTCACAGTGTCCATCTCGTACCCGTTGTGCGCAGCTCCAGACGCGCGGCGTATCCATCACGGTGCCCCCTTCATGCTCCATTAATGGCCGCCCTGGGGTGCGTTAGCCTACGTGAATGATTATAGTTGCTCCGCTGTGAAGTTCTAATTTGATTATATGCGCTGTTATAGGTTGAGAGGGCAGAGCCTGTTTTACGTCGACAATACGCCGGTCTGATGGACGCGCTGATCCAAATTAAGGCCCAGGAGGGCTTCGCGGGCTTCTTCCGAGGCGTGTACCCGCGTCTACTGGTACATGCGCCCTCCGTGGCGGTATCTTGGACCACATTCGAAGTATTAAAGAAGACTCTGGATCGGATGAGCGAAGACGACTAGTGCCGATTTTTTTCTGTCCATTTGAACCATCTACTGCCAACGCGAGGTTTATATCCTGAAGTGCGTCAAGGAGGTACACGCAGAAGCTCAGAGAACGACACTGATGTTTGCAGCAAGCCACTGGGCATTTGACCAAAAGGGAACAATATATAGAGTTACACCGAAAACGATTCTATTCTTGCAGGACATGCCCCCACATCTCGTCATATACGCTTTGGCTGCTTGGTACGTAAGGCGAGAGCGTTAGAGCTCTATCTGCAATATCGTTCGTTGCTGTTGTGTACGACGTCGTGTGTTTTGTTCATTGGACCAGTCAAACATGGTGGAGTGTTCTCCTGGATCTCAAGGTGGTGCAGCGTCGCTTGGCAGATTGTTGGGGAATGAACAAGCATTTCCACGCTCTCGAGCGTTAGACTCTGCAACATCTCCTCGCTTATCGCGTGTTAGCTACCCGAAGGCGTGCACTCGTTCGAGTTCTGACAGCGACATACGAGCGGCGGTGTTGCCTCTTCCAAGCGCATTTGATTCTCATAAAGGTTTTGAAGACAAGTTTACGCCTGCAGACGAGAGCGGCATCTTTCTGAACGCGTCGATGCAACTGATGTATTTGAACGGAGAGGTTCGTCACAGTATACGTCAGCTGTGGACGTCGGTGCAGCGATTGGGACGAGAGAACCAGATCAGTGAAGCAGGCATGGATGTATTGTACGTTGAGTTGGGAAACACCCTCAAGGCTATGAGCGCTGAGAAGCTCGAACCTAGCAAACACCTTAAAAGTGGACGTTTGGTCTTGCTAGCTTCGTCCCCGACAAGCGATCCAGGCGTAGTAGGCGGCAGCACAGCAGTTAAAGCCCTTTTTGGCGCAAGACCAACTGCCCAACTGATGCAGTGTTCGTTATCAGAAGACCAGAGCAAATTTGAGATGACTCCTGTCCGTCAACCAACCGCCAGCGCTCCTCCAAATCCTCCATCGTCGAGGTTTGCGCTGCCGTCTACTGCATCATTAATGGGAATGATCTCGGATGCATTTCAAGTAGAACCAACCACCAGAGTTATCCGGCTGCAAGGCTGTCAAGTCAGGAGACTTGTTCCCAAATCGCCAGGCAATGAAGAAATAGCGGATGATGGCGAGTTGCCAAGAGCAAAGATCTTCCACCGCTTTCAACTGCTCGTACCTTATAAAACGCAGATGAGTGGCTCTAACGATACTGAGAGCTTATTCCCCACGAGAGCGCCTGTGCCGTACGAATCGTTCATCTTCGAAGTACCAACTGCTGGAGCTGGAGAGATCAAGACAGACATGGACGCTGAAACACAAGTCGACGAGTGGGTCTGGGCGCTGGATCGAGTGTGCAGATATCATCTCCATCGACTTGAACGCGCTCTTCGGGAAGCTCCGACCATCGGTACGCTCTTTACATTCACGTGCTTGTAGCTGTGCGTGCACCAGTATCTCACTTGTGTAATGCTTAGAACGATACCGGGAGAATCTGGAACGTCATTTCCCGGTTTCCGTCTCACTCAGTTGGCTTCGCAATCGACTTGATCAGCCTCTGCAACGTCGAGCAAGTGCCAATTTGAGTATGATTCAGATTGTCAAAGATCTCGATCGTGATAAAGTGCTCTTGGATGGTCATCTCTTCAGTGCTGCCAACCCTTTCGAAGACTACAACGTGGAATCTGACAGCGTGTCAGAGGTGGTCAAGTATATGGTCAACAAAGTGTTGACTTTCGAGCAAGCAACCACGTCACAGTACCGAATTCCTGGAGCTACACACCAACCATCGTCACCAGCACATCGCTTTGCCAAGAACTGCGAGGCTCGAGCTCTTGCGTTTGTCGAGCGAGTGCTACAAGGCAGTTCTCGAACTCAAAGTGGCGGTGACATCTACGACGCCATCAGCTTCTTCTGTCAACAAGAACACGTGTCTATTTGTCCAGTTTCCCAAGATGCTCGACCCGTTCAGATGCGGATCACCAGTGATATTGCTAAAGGAATGTTCCAGGTGGAAGTCCAGGTCTGCATGCAGTTCAAGGTCATCGAGTTGACGCCAAGGTCTCCATCGTTTGCTACGGATGGAACTGAAGCCTCTGTGCTTGATTCGACGATGGACTCACCTCGTGATAGTTTGAGGGAGTGGGCGGTTCTTGAAGGAACTTTGGCGAGGCCGTTCACATTGGGGCAGCTTTCAGCACCCGGCACAGTCACCATTACCTGCATCTAAGTTGATGGGATTAATAGGTGAGAAATAGCAGAATTTGGTCGTAAGATTTGGTCTACAGGAGCTGCGGCACGAGACTCGTACGACCATCCAAAAACTGGGGCTTGATGTTTTCTTCTGCGGACGGCCCTGATCCCACACTGGCTCGGCATAAAGGGCACGAACGTTCGTGGTCGAACCACTCTGTCACACATTCTTCACAGAACATGTGCGAGCACGCGAGCTTGACTGGCTGACGCATAGTCTCGTAGCAGATCGAGCAGTCCGGAGATCCCGCTTCCACTAGTTCGTCGTGAGTGACGTATACACCGAACTCGAGTCCCAACGTAACGAAGGAGCGTGCGAGGATGAAGATACGACGGCCTTGAGTTGCGAGAATCAAACCCTGTTTTCAAAATTCTATTAGTATTTCACGTTGTAATAATGGCCTACTTCGAAGTATTCAGAAGCGTTTACATACCTTGATAAAGACGTAAGCAAAGGTAAATACGTCGGCCATGAACTTGGAGGCACAGAGCTGGTAAAAACTGCACCATGGGATGCTAGCAAGCAGCGATCGGAGGAAGATTGAGCACATCTCAATGAGCCCATACAATTTCCGCTGTAAAATCACACTCTCGAGTTAGTGCAGCTATTACATCTAAAAGTGCTTCAAAACGTCATACCTTTCTCCGATAGAAGGCAACGGTCGAAACTACGCGCTGCGTAAGTGGCGTTTCCACCGTAGTACTGTCGCCTTCTTCGTCTATCGCTATGGCTGATGAAGACTGATCCTCATTCGTCTGAATTTCATCTCTATATTTCCTGTCGCAGTGGAATCGATCCGACTTGGCACCAGCTACAAACGCCTTCACGACGATACTCCATAGCCGAATTAGGAAGTCTGCAACCAACAAATAAGAATTTAGACACTCCGTTAACTGCAGCATGATTGACACAGCACATACCGTTAACAAGTACCGTCCACAGCACCTGCCAGAAGATTCCTCCCGTCGAGAGAAGTCCAGTATCACTGCCACTACCCTGAGTCGTTGTCGAGTGGAGTATCTGGGAGAAATGATGCAAAGGATTCGGCTGGCCATCCACCGAGCATATCGCTACCATGTCAATCGCGCACATGGCTACAATCCCAAGAAGATGCCAACTATTGGCCTTGTCCTTTAGCGCGACCTGCGCTCGCATGCGCTGATCAAGTCCCATCACCGCCACTGTGCCGACAACGAACACTAAAATGCCAGTCGCATGTTGATACGCAAAATAAATGAGGAAAAGTGCCACAAATGGGAGCGAGTTGTGGCAGCGTCGGAAAAGAGCCTGCAGTTCGTCCAGCGCCGTCTGGTCCTCTCCTTCTTCCTCCGAGTTCCGTCTCGTCCTCCCTGCGCGTGCAGTGGGCCGCGTAGGAGTAGTAGTTTCCGATGTATCCCCTGATTGTGCCGCATTACTATCACTACGTTCGAAATCTCCACTGGTTGACATGCTGTACATGGACGACTCGGAGCTTAATCTCCGTCGAGTTCTGGGTGGAGAGCCCTCTCTTTGTCCCTCAGGAGGCAGCAGTCTCCCTGTTTCGTCCACTTGGGCTGCATTCTCGTCGGATTCCTGTCTCCCTGCTGCGAAGCCCCTCCATGGTGGCGTCTGACTGTTTAAATCCTGTAAGAACTGGCCGATGGTCAGCTGAGGCAGAGCCTGCAATAGTCTCGAGCTCACAGCGTCCCCGCTAACGGGTGTGCTTAATGTCGCGGCCAGTAGCCTCTGTCGTAGCAGCTCTGCGTCCTCGGGGTCGTTCTCGGGGTCGAATGATGCGCTGTTTCTGCGTCCCACGAAGCCCCGAAGCGCAGGATCATAAGGAGTGCGTCTCTCCACCTCTGTGTCTGACGTGGAGCGCTGTACGTGGCGATGGGGCCGTGGCAACGCGTCGCTAGACGGAGAAGTGGGTGTTGGTAGGCCCATGTTTAGACGACTAGTGCGCGGCACAGAAGATGATACAGACGACGCGACCGACGTGGACGTAGTAGTCTGCGTCTCGAGAGGGACGTTGGTGACTGTGTCGCTGCTGTCAACTGTCTGGGCGTCGGTGCTGCCACCTAAAGCGAGGTCACTCCTCTCCGCCATATTCAGAATTCTATTCACGGAATGACGATAAATCCATAGAGAACTGGATTTTCATCCAATCAAAGGTATCTGATAATCAGATTTCCATCTTCCACATCTAATCAACAATGTCCTTGATGCACCCGGACACTAGCGACTCCTTTCTAACCTCCGTACGCGTCGTGTGTCGCAGCCAGCCTCGGATTAACGTGTTAAATCACGTACTACAGCAGTTGGATGCATTTCTTTTCCCGTCTCAAGCTTTTACGCTGCCCCGATGCGTGCAGCACGGTAACATTCGCCTCTTCAGACGTGTTTTGGTTACGCTAGATAATGACAACACCCGGTGCCAATTCGAGAAGATACAGCAATATCGACTGGCAATGCAAGCGGCTGCAAAACTTGGCCACCTCTGGATGGTACAACAGCTGTATCAACGCTACCCAGTGGCGCTGAGCGGCGCGACAGCACTAGCTGCGGGACAAAGTGGCCACTTGCCGCTAATTCAGTGGGTGTACGAGACCAAGCGCCACCTTTTGAACATGAACTTCTATGCAGCAGTGTACAAGGCTTTTGAGACGTCGGCTTCACGTGGAGACTTGCACACTGTGCAGTGGCTTGTGAAGAATTTCTCGAATGTTGTGTTTGACATCGGTATCCCAGCTAAAGAAGGACAATTGGAGGTGGCGAAATGGGTGCTGGAAGAGGGCAAATACAGATGCAGATTCGATGTAGCGGACGAAGTGGCAGTACGTGGAGACTTGAACATGATGCAGTTTTTAGTCAACCGCGCACTTTTGGATGGACCGAGCTCAGCGCCGGACTTGGCGGCGGAGTTTGGCCACATTGAACTGGTAAAGTGGTTGAGTGAGAATGAGAGCAAACATGCTTGGAGTTTCACTACGACTGCAATGGTTTGTGCAGCGAAAAATGGGCATCTGGAGGTTGTGAAGTGGTTACACGAGAACAGGAAAGTGGGATGTACCACTAACGCTTTGGATCTTGCTGCAGGATCTGGACACCTTAGTGTACTGCAATGGCTCTATGCAAACCGACATGAACGATGCACAGCGAATGCTATGGATAACGCAGCGATGACAGGGTATCTAAAAGTTGTGCAGTGGCTGCATAATGAAGGAGCAAGATGTACAACTGCAGCGATTAATCATGCCGCACACAAGAACCACTTAAACGTTGTACAGTGGCTTCACGAAACACGCGATGAAGGCTGCACAGCAGAGGCAATGGACTGGGCGAGTAAAGCGGGCCACCTTGCAATGGTCAAGTGGCTTCATGTCAACCGTCGTGAAGGATGCACGACCTTCGCGATGGATCAAGCTTCAGCGAATGGACACTTGGAAGTGGTGCAATTCTTGCATGCGAATCGAGCAGAGGGCTGCACGAAGTATGCTTTGAATGCCGCTGCTGGTAACGGAGACCTTGAAATGGTGAAGTGGATCGTTGCTCACAGATACGAGGGAATTATCTCGGAGGCTTTTCACAACTCTGTGAGCACTGGTCACCTCGATGTGGTTAAATTTCTTCGCAATACTTTCGTAGATGAGTGTTCTGCTCGTGTTATTGACACTGCTGCAACCAACGGCCATTTGGAGTTAGTTCAGTGGTTATACGAGAGCTGTGGGGAGCGCTGCTCGCCTGCAGCGATGGCAGGAGCAGCCAAGAACAGCCACGTCGAAGTCATCAAGTGGCTAAGCAACGTCTGCGCACTGAAATGCCCCACATACGTGATGATGAACGCTGTTTCTAGCGGTAACTTCGAGATGCTTCAGTTCCTGAAAAAGTCTGGGCAATTGGACTGTCGTTCAGTGACAACTGAGGGTATTGTAGCTGTGCTGGACCCTCAAGAGGAAGTCGTCCAGTGGCTGACTGAAAATTATCCTGATGTGTAAGTCCGAGGACGAAAGTTTAGTTCGCTTTCTTGTACATACAATTACCTTTACAGCTCCTCCACTTCAACTTGTCCGGACGATTTTGTTTGAATGAAGCCAATAAACTCGTCGCTCTTGAGCACAGGAACACTAACAGTGAACGTTGCGTCCTCTGCGTATTCCTGTGATACCAACTCTGCCGTGAAGTGATCGGACGCTCGTTTGACCACATCAACGTACGAGAAATTTGTCTTCACATACAGCAACTTGGTTGGCACCTTTTGAACGATCTCTGCCTGCTCGATCACCTCCTGCGCTGCAGCTCCATACGCTCGGATGAGTCCTCCAGACCCAAGCTTCACGCCACCAAATATTCTCGTCACCACCAGACAGACGTCGACTAATTGTGCACGTTGTAAAGAGGCCAAGATGGGTCTCCCAGCGGTTCCGTGTGGCTCTCCGTCGTCCGAGCACAGCTTACGGCCGTCCATTGTCGTGTAGGCATAGCAGTGATGGTTAGCGGCCGGGAACTTCCCGCGCTGCGTTTCAATGTATTGTTTTACAAGCACTGAAGCTGCATCACCACCTCCTGACAGCGGCCATGCGGCTGAGATGAAGCGCGAGCCTTTGCGTTTGGCGATCTCGTGCTGTACAGCGCAGCGGATGGTCTTCCTGGCCGCCATTTCGGTAGCTTTGGCAAAAATGACGTGCACAATTGCTGCAACTTTACTGGCCGTTATAAGCGCAACTTTAGCTCGTTTGCACATCAAAACTTTCGCATTTTTTGTTTTTCATCACGATGGCAACAGGAACGTCCTCGGTCGAGCGACTGCTGCAGTACATCCGCATCCCGACTGTCAGTGGCGATGGCCCCAAGGGAGCGTACAATGAGGTCAGTACACGAGTAAAACGGCGAAATGTTGGTTTTTGTAAGACAATGGATTTTGCTGTATAGTGTGCGGTGTGGCTCAAGGGATATCTGGAAGACGGTGGGGATCTAAGAGAGTTCTGCCAAGCTTGTTTTGTCCATTCACCATATATTGTGCGCAGTTGGTTTGACGGTGCAGATTTTCTCTCCTTCGGATAATAAACCGATTGTTTTGGTGAGGAGATAGTTGCTTGAAAGTGCTCTAGCGTTGAATTGACGGTGTTTGCATTCGCAGGCGACATGGCAAGGCAAAAACCTGTCCCTCCCGTCGATCCTGCTCAACTCACACTACGACGTCGTGCCTGTGGCTCGTGAACACTGGGAGCACGATCCTTTCAATGTGTGTATCATTCTCTCTTGTTTACTCGAAAATATTAGCGATGCTCACTGTGTGTGGGGTTTCTACTGCAGCCAACAGTTCTGGAGGATGGAATGATTTACGGCCGTGGAACGCAGGACATGAAGAGCGTCGGTGTTCAATATGTGGAGGCAGTTTCCCGTCTGAAAGCGGAGGGCTTCATTCCGGGCAGAAACATCCACCTCCTGTTCGTGCCAGACGAAGAAATTGGCGGCGTGGATGGCATGGAGGCCTTTCTTGCAAGCGAACAGTACAAATCCATCCAACCCGTCGCATTTGCCTTTGACGAGGGGCTAGCCAACCCAAATGACGCGTTTACAGTGTTCTATGGCGAACGTGTACCCTGGTGGTTCTACGTGAAGGCCACGGGTCCTACAGGTCATGGAAGCCGCTTCATCAAAGACACAGCGACGTCCAAGATCATTGACGTCTGCAACAAGGTGCGTGTGGACTGATACATGTCACTAGTCTATAGATGTTAATGCTTTCTCCTAATTGTAGGCCTTGGCTTTCCGTGCGGAGCAAGAGGCTCTTCTGAATGCCGACTGTGGCTGCAAGCACGGGGATATCAAGAAGAGAAACCTTGGCGATGTCACCACTGTAAACCTCAACATGCTGAAGAGTGGTGTGTCCCAGGATGGCGGCAAGACGCACGCTCTCAACGTGATTCCAACCGAGGCAGTTGCTGGTTTCGACGTTCGAATCTCGCCTCACATGGACTTGAAGAAGTTTAAAGTGAGCAGCTTCGTTGTAAACTAGGCGAATGGTTCTCATGTTAACGAGTCGTTTGTCTGATGTATGACAGGCGATGCTTGATGAATGGTGTTCTGCTGGAGGATTATCGTGGGAGTTTGTGTCGTGGTGGAAGAATCCACTGCATGAGCATTACACGACGTCGGTAGATGACACGAACATTTGGTGGAAGTTGTTCAAGGAAGGGTGTGAGGTGAGTAGCCCCAGAACTTGGAAAGTTTACTACTAGAGTATATTCATTGATCAATTGGTTTGTGTTGAAGGATATCGGCATCCTTGTTGAGACGGAGGTGTTCCCAGCAGCAACGGATAGTCGATTTCTCCGCCAGCTCGGCATCCCGGCGCTTGGTTTCTCTCCGATGAACAAGACGGAAATCCTACTGCACGAACACAACGAGCGCCTGCATAAAGACACCTTCCTGTGTGGCATCGACGTGTACGAGACGTTGTTTCGCCGCATGTTCACGTACGTCGAGGCGGACTGAAGGTTAGGAATACAGATTCCCCCCTCACTTGTAACACTGCGCCAACTGATAACCTAAGTGTCTCTTATAATAATATTTTACAGAGGAAGCAGATTACGACTAACTCTGCCTGCATCAAAACCACAGCGTATGGGGACGGCCAGCGACGGAAAGTGCTTTCGTCATACCGAGGTTATCTTTAATGGAGTCGGCGAGAGGTCTGGAACAGAAAAAATACACGGATGTCGTAGACGATATCGGATAAGTAGGTCTTAAATTATCAACTGAGACCAATGTGGCACTGGCAGTGTCGATGGGATAACCTTGAAGTGAT